ACGGTCCCCTGGCTCTGCTCCACCATATCTAACGAGGGAGAAAGAGTAAAATTTTACTCATGGGCTGAGTGAAAAAAATAACCGCAAAATCAGATGTTCATTCCCGAGCAACACCCCCAGGTATTTGATCTTTTGAAGATCCTGCCCTTGGGGCCAAAATTTTGTTCGAATGCCCTACCCAAGTTCTGGATTTTAGGGTCAATTTTTTTGTAGAAGACAATCTTTAAAACGTTTGAAAATGTTGACCTTTTCTTGACTCTTAATCACCTCTAAATTAAAAGCTAAAACACGTGTATTCCGCAGAAAAGACGACACTTCCGGTTCAAATTCGCTCCCGTTCAAATTCGCTTCTTACCTAAGCAAGGTCCATATTTCCCGCCCCCGTGCACGGACGACAGTCAAATGCCCCTTGGTTACTCGGGGTGTAAAAGAGGGGGAGGGAGAGTTAAAGCTTCGAATTAATCGGCGCATAGACCACTTTCATAAATGACTGCCGGATTAATATTCTTTTGTTTAAATTTAAATTAGCCCTACTGGCCTCGTTCTCCAGTACAAAATTCGAAAGAATACATTATCTCAAGCAGGGCCAGAAGGGCTAATTTAAATTTAAACAAAAGAATATTTATACGGCAGCCATTTATGAAAGTAGTCGATCTATTACCTGGTGTAAATAAACTGCGTATGCTAACCTTTTTTAAAGATCTTTTCCAATGGAATGTCAGGGATCGATCTGTTCTGATTGGTAGTTTTGATTACTTTGCTCATGGGTTTTCGATACGCAATTGAAAACTGCCTCAAGAAGTTACAGTGGCCTCATATGTGTGTGTAACCACATACACAGTTTAACCACCGAAATGAATCATCACATAATCTGAATTGGGTGGTAACATCGATGAAAACACAGCAGCTGAATCCCTCTATTGGATAGCTATCGCAGGTTATATCTGATGGCACTAATTCTAACACAAGCATCTATTTTCATTACTCACTTTCAGTAACACAGTGACAACTTTGAACGTACCTCATGATGGCTTGGACACCAGCCTCCCAAGCTCGAGCCCAGGACTTTGCAGCCGAGTCACCCCTCAGATGAACTGTTCCAGACATGAGAAAAAGGCTGTAGAACTGTATAAGAATAAAGAAAGACAAAGATGGCTGCACATGCCTAACCTTACTCACCTGCCAACCTTTTTTTTTTTTTTTTTTTAAGGAAAAGTCTACAGTTGTTATCCTTAGAAAGCCAGCATGCTCGTTAAACGCTCCTCCTCTGAATACGGAAATTACCGAAAATGACTAGAATCTTTCCGAAAAGTTAACACAAGCCTGAGCTTGTTTACATTACTCTCTCTTCCCCGAGGAAGGGTTTCGGTCAACGCACGATCATTTGCACGGACGTTCTTCATTGATAAATAAAAACCAAGTTTATTTTACGCGATGCATTTCTTCAAAATCGAGTAATTAGCTTGAATTTTTGTGATGTGCAAGAGAAATTCATCGTTTTCTAGGTGAGCTGACATGAGTGTGAGTTTACGATTCGCAAGCGCGAAGTTTAGCAAGTAATGCATGCTTTTCGAATCACTGCTTAGGAGAAATCACATCTTCAAAAATTTCCTTCCAAACGCGTATCCATTGATACCGATGACAAAAGCCCGAGAACTCCTTTATCAGCTTTTTACACCCTAATATCAGTCTGCATATTCTCCATACTTTACTCTATACATTTCCTAAGCTGCTGACAAGGAGAATTTGTTTAACAATCGAGAGCTTCTTCAGTTGGTGATCATTTCTTTTATTCTCGTGACCTTAATGTGTGATTCAAGGGTGAAATTGTAGGGAGAAATTGGAGGCTGGTCACCCTTAGGGCTCAAATAGTTTAGATAACTAACCACGCCTGAACTTCCACCCATGTGATCCTCGCACAAACTGGCAAGTGATAACAACAGATCCTCTGGCTGGTTACACGGCAAACCTGGAGCATCCTTTGATCCTAAGACTTTCTTTATGGCTGGAAGTAATAAAATAATGAAAAAAGGGTTAGTTTTTGAAAAAGTAAAATCGACACTTCAGTAAGTAATTGCATGCGAAGATATTTCGTCTAATACTGGTTTTCCTGTAAAGTAAAATTTGAAGCTGTGTTATTGTGGATCGGTGACGGTTATAAGTGTGTATGTGGGTACATGTACTATGAACTGCAGCTCCATTCGTATGGTTGCATACCCATTTTATGCTTACCTGTTCATTTTCACCCACATGTTCTCTTCAAACATATGTGCTTTTTGAATATAGTGTAATACTGTCGAATATTTTGCGAGTTCCATTGCCTTAATATTGTAAAATGGCTCAGTGGAAAAATAATTTGAAAACAACTTTTCACCGCTATCCACCTACGCTGAGGTGAAAAATTTTTTTTTAACTAGTACATACGAAAACAGGGAGATAATGTGGCAAAAAAAGATGATTTTACTCATTCATTCCTGTAACAATTACAATATTTTCTGGCGCAAATCCCACGCGAGTTGCTCGGAGGTGAATAGTTAACAACTATTCACCAAAGTGGAGGTGGTTAGTGGTGGATATTTACCGTGCCGCGAAGCGGCGAGGTAAATATCTACCGCTAAGTACCGACACTGAGGTGAATAGTTGTTTTAGTATATACTAAAACAGTGAGATAATATACACCACCAAAAATTAATTTGAGTAATTTCTTCGCTTGTCACGGATGCAAACCGAGACGCCATTTTTTCCCGAGTTGCTCAGAGGTAAATAGCAAAGGATATTCGGAGTTTGACTAGCCAATGAGAGCGTGTCGTCAACGCTATCCACTGTTTTAGTATATACTAACAAAGGATGCTCAGAACTTGAGTAGCCAATCAGAACGCGCCTTCGACGCCATCTACTGTTTCAGTGTATACTAACGCCCGGTATTCCCCAATATTAGCCAAGGAATATTCCGTTACGTGACTCTTTCCACACAATCGTGCGCAAGGGAATATATTTTATTGACAAAAAGTAACAAGGATTCGATGACTCGTACCTGAAGCTCCTCGAGAAAGGGTGGTTCCACAGTCTCCGTCGCCAGCAAGGTTATCCAGCTCATTCAGTTTACCCTCAGCAGCAATGAGGGCATCAGTTACATGACTAATTACAGCATAGACCTTTTCTCCTGGATACAAAAAGTCAATAAGGTGTGTGATTAGAAGAACACTAACGTAAGTATAACAGCAGTTTTGAAATAAGTGTCGAAAGCATTCTGGAATTGCCATGGTTTTCCTTTACCTCACTCAGTGGTTGGACCAGAAAATTTAGGCCACTCTCTCAACCAATCAGATGCAAGACTAAAACCAATAACCACCTGGTGCGCGGTTTTACTTGGAGTTCACATTGGCTCTTAAAGCTATTTTCCCTGGTCGTTGTGATTACTTTGGTTTTGTAACCTGTCGCGTTTTACGCAACACGTAAATTAGACTTTCCATAGCGCATTTTAGTAGCAGTATTGTATAAACCATGTGCTTCAATGATCGGCCATGTTGATGATCAATTAAAGAGTTTAGTTTATCAGCGAGCCTTTGACGAACTTATAACAGTTTTGTTCTAACGACACTCAATCGATAAACGCTCTCTGACAAACCCAAGCAATAATAAGAAAACACAGCCCACCTAGTGCTGTCAGTTTTTCCGAGGGAGCCTCATTTTTGTCCTCCACAGCATCCATGGGAACCTCAAGAGGCTGCTTGTCAGTTCTCATACAGCCTGAATTTCTAGATACTGAAACTCGTGGCCATGCTGGTGCAGTTGTGCTTTGATCTGTACAGGAAGTACATGCATGTCATGATGAAAACACCAAATGGATAAAAACTTGTATTTTGTTTGGGAAATGAAAGAAATACTTAATTCCACAAAAACTGATCATAAGGTGACTTAAACTGTCTACATTACTAAATTGGCTCACTCAGCCCAGATTTGATTCCAGTTTAAAAAAAAAACAAAATCAAGGAGTTCTGTGTCTTGCCAGAACAGGTCACAATGGCTCCACCTACACTGAAATTAAAGGCATATCTCCTACCTCATCTCCTGCATAAAAATTTTCAAAAACAAAAGAAAATCATCCGCAACTATTAATTTGATCAGTTCAGTAAAATTAAAATAATTAACTTGGTTGTGTAAGGGATGAGCAGGAAATAGCTATGCCTACAGAGGAATGGTTTTCTGCTCAGGAATGAAATCGTCATTATGATGCCTTTCCCCCTTCAGTTGATGATCACGTTGTTGCAAGGAGACACTCACCCAAACAATCTGCCCTTGTTTTGTCCAAATGAAGTAAAGTGATTGATATTCCAGCCATTTCCAGTGAGGTCATCAAACTTCCAACATAAACCCGATCAACTTTCACCTCTTTCCCTTGCGCTGAATAAAATAAAGTCAAATTTCTGATTGATAAAAATTAGGAATACTTTGCAACCACCTCATGGTTGTAGAAAAGGAAATCTAATGTTATTCCCAGTTTGGAAAAGAGACATTGTCTTATTAGAGAGTTGGGTATACTTCAGAGGGTCATGTCATCTTAAAAAGGAATGAAAATAGGGCATGTCTTGTCAGCATTTCACATCTCCCTCTCATTTATTTGAAGGGATCTTCAAGGCCATTTCCTGAAGAGGTGCATTTTGCAGTAATTGCACTATCTACCAAAGATAAGGGGAATAGAAATATTTAAAGTTTTGTACAATGGATAAGCTTGCCTAAAAAGTAAAAGCTTTTAGCTAGAAACTTGAGGGATATAACAGTAAAATAGAATGACTCACAGGGATAAATATCATTTTTAACAAGTTGCTAACAAGGTGGCTGTTATCAAAAATATGTTTTAAAAGCAATAGCTCTCTCAGACTACATACTAAGGTATGTTATTGCCATTCTTGCAACAATATTTAACTCCAATACAGATGTTCCCCCAAGATTATTTACCACAAGAGCCATGCTGTCACCTGTGAAACGTCACAAATAAAAGAGTTGTGAGAATGTTGTAATAAAATTGTAAAAATTCTAATGTAATAAATAAAGTTAATTTTAGTAAATAGACCTAATTCCTATGCACATACAGTATAATGATCATCAAGATGCTTAATCATTATTATGATAGAGGTCTTCTTTCAAGATTCTTGTTACCCCTGTCTTACTCCAGAGCTGCTTTAGTCTATGATACAGGAGGAAATTATATTGGTCTAACTTATAATTTATAAAATTCTAATTAAACCAAGTTATGTCTAAATGATTCCAAAAGACATGGAAGGAGACTTGGATTTTAAATGTGTTAAGACAAGGGGTAAAATTGGATATTCTTAGAGCATAGAACAAAATGCACAGAGAAGCTTGAAGTACTTGTCGAAAGACCAGAAAGAATATGCAAAATTTGTTATTAAGAGGAAATCCATGGACACCAGATGTCCCTATCTACCTTCACTCTTCACTTGAGAGTTCAATCTCTGAATTCTTGCTTTAAAGGGAGGTTAAATAATGGTACAATTTAAATCTTACCAAAGATACCCTGGTGAAAATCCTGTTCAGGATCCTGTTCAAGATCTTAATAGGATCCTTACTAGGATCCTATAAGATCTAGTACAAGATCCTATAGGATCCTGTGGGATCTTGTACAGGATCCTATAGGATCTTGTACAGGATCCTTTAGGATCTTGTATAGGATCCTATATATAGGATCTTGTACAGGATCCTGTACAAGATCCTGAAGATTTAATAGGATCCTGTATATGATCCTATGAGATATTACAGGATCCTGTACAAGATCCTATAGGATCCTGTAGGATCCTACAAGATTCTGAAGATTTACTAGGATCTTATGAGATATTACAGGATCTAGTACAAGATCCTATAGGATCCTACAGGATCTTCTATAGGATATATAACATAATTACAGGATATATAACAATTCTGTACAAGATCATATCAATGCACGAAAATAAAGTAGATGCGTCTTATAAATTTATTTTAATCTCATGTTTACAACTGTTACATTAATTGTAGACATAATCTATATTTCGATGAAATGACAATAGTGATGAGTGACCAGTAATCCATATAACTATTAACTATAAATTATAGATCATGCATTGGACTTGTGTAATTGTGGTATTAAGCATTGCACCTCTAGTAGGAAGAAGTAACACACTGGCATAGAGAATAATCTTTTCTACAAATTGATATATAAGATGCCACAATGGAAACCATACTTTAAATTCAAGTATATTGTGAAATTAATGCACGAGAAAACACAGCCAACCAAAATGTCTTATCAATTATTTTTAAGTAGACCAATTAAAAAGTTATGCTTCATTTAGGTTGCAAATTTTCTACTTGAAAGGCTGTCTTCATGTCTTTAATAATTACTTATTATAGTCATTTGCAAACACCTATGAAATAAAGTGTTCTGGTTTATAAGTAGTAAGATTCATGTATTGACAAAAGTAACAAAACAGCTGAAGTGAAGCAAAGCACACTGGAATCATTTTTCACGGGCTTTAGCAAACAACTATATACAGTTTACAAACTGTAAGGTTATTGTGAGGTGGGCTAACCCACATCCCTTCAAAATAACTTAACAATTAGCACTTTTACAGAAATAAATCTTTGTTGAACTTTTAAAGAAACACATGGTTACAATGGAGCAATTTCAGAATATCCGGCCACCCGGCTTTGAAGAATGAAGCACAACACCATAGAGGCTATTCTAATTCAATGACATGTAAATGAGTGGACATCCGACTTTGAAGAACGAAGCATAACACAATAGAGGCTATTCTAATTCAATGACATGTAAATGAGTGGCTGGGTATTCTGCAATCTAGCCGTTACAATTAATCTTCATTCAAGTTTCTTGCTGCAGCTGACTGTTTGCTCTTATAGGACTTTAGTTTGTCCAGGCACTTCTGGTTCAGGGATACTTGAATGTCGCTCCACATTTTATCCAAGACTTTCGCACCATACTTGACATTTATGCATCCTATCAAATAAGCAATTCACGGAGAATTTATTAGTTGTGTGTATTACTACATTGTCCTATTCCACAAAATGTTCATAAACTATTGGGGAATTCTAAGTGAAAATCAGTTAAAGATCTATCACATATATGATGCCACTATTACTGTTACAGGCAAATCAGTAGTCTCACAGCCTACAGATCTGTCACATACATGGTGCCCCTTATACTTCAACAGACAAAGTATCACTGTAGAGAAGTTTGAAGTCAACAATATTTTAATAATCATCGTTATGAGTATTCCTGAATACTTACTCTTTATCATGTTTATTTTAGACTGATCGAGTGGGGGCTTCCTTGCCCCACCATCCTTGGGCTCCACACAGCCATTTCTCATCTCCTCATCTGTGAATAACACAGAGAGGAGAGCTGTTGCATAAAGTTTTGGTTTCTTCTGCTTCGCTTGGACATCTATGAGCAGATTTGTTCCATTATATTTCTGTGAACAAATAAAAATAAATAAATTCCAATCCTCCCAACAATACAGTGGAACCTCGATTTAACGAGCCTCTATACAATACTTCAGTTCCTGACCAGCAAAAATTACAGTAAAATGGATGACGCAGAACCTTGATTTAATGAATCAATTTCCCCAGTCCCTTGGTACTTCGTTAAATCGAGGTTCCACTGTCATATGGCCTGATGCCCCATGTTGGCCAAGGAAAACCATAGAACCATTTCTTTATTTTAGACAAATTTTGAGTGTTGATGTGTATCACACACTAATGCTAAATTCACTATTTTATCACAACACCAGGAAGAAAACCATGATGGCAGGAAAACAAACTTCATTCACTACTATCCCTACCACTTAATGGGGTGATAAGTTTGGGTATGCAATGGCTGCCATAGATTCTCCACATGCCAAGAACCTCAGAGCATTTGAAAAAGTAAGAGGGGCTAATGACTGAAAACTGTTAATAATAATGCCTAGAGACAAAGGACTGACCTTGTGGTGTTCACCTTAAGTGATGGGGCTTCAGTGACCCTTACCCCTTCCCCTCCCTCATAGTGCCTGAATACTTACAATTTCTATTTCAGTTTCCTCTTCTAGGTTGGAGGGCAACTTGCACTTCACTTGATGCGAGCTTTCTCCAGTGAAACTGCTATTTAGGCTGTCCTAAAATGATTAAACAAATTTAATATTTTGAGTTATATGTTTGAGAACATAATGACAATATTTATTGGATTGTATCAAAGATTATAGAATATGTCACTGAATATTAGAAAATGTACATAGAAGATAACTACAAATGAGATCATGGCACCTGTGAAGAAGACCCTGCTTCCTGCCTTGTGTAAACCTCATTGCTTTCCAAAGGTGTTTCGCAGGTTCCTCTCACCAATGACTCTATCTCCTCCAATTTTAGGAAAATCTTTTTAAACTCTTTCAAGACTGTTTCTTGGAATTGATTAGGCTTCTCGTCAACCCCTTCAACCTCAATGGTTGACGCCAATTTGGAAACCTGTGTAGTGTAAGGAAAAATTTTATTGCTAAAGTGAAATACATTTGTATCTATCTCAGAAAACTTTTTGTTTGGATTAGGATGTTAAGCTGTTTTTTCATGGTACTACAAATAAATATATTGTTTTTAATTGCTGCTTGTCCCCTTGAATTTGATATAGACAAACGTGCACTTCATGTTTTTTAGCCAAAAGCTCCTCTACTCTTTTTTGTTCCTCAAGGAGGTCCTCCTTTTCAGCACCAATATCTGTTTAAATAATGTATTAAATTAACAAAATGAAACTAGATCAAGTTCTACAATTGGCCAATACTACAATAAGTAGAAATTAATAAAATTGTCCTGCATCAGGTGACTATTGGCAAATTTATGGACCAATAGTGGTCAAAATCATTTTCATCAATACATCCATATATCCATCATGCTGAACTTGCTTGTCTTACTGGAGATGCTGTTTTTGGAATAAAAGGCCTTCTGCTGTGCATGAAATCTTACAAATTCCAGAAATGCTGTTATTTGATTACATGCACCAAGTTCTCGAGGGAGAATATACCAGAAGGATATCAAAGTGGCTTAATGGTTAAGCTGCCCTAGTGAAACAAGTCTGAAAAATGACCAAGAAGTTTCCCAGGCTCTTTTTAACATCAAACTGCCTCATGACTTCAAGAGAAAATTTAGGCCTTTGGAAGAGTTCTCGAAATGGAAAGCAAGCGAGAAGCAGGCCCTTTTCCTTCATGCTGGACTTCCTGTTTTGAAGTTCCTGCTTCCTTCTGAAGTGTTTTACCATCATGCACTTCTAGTCACTAGTGTAACCATGCTCTGCTCTGATTCAATATCAGAAAATGACATTAGCATAGCTGAAGCCATGATCCAGAGTTACACAAGATTAATTCCCTCATTGTTTTCAAACTGAGAGTGTACTTTCAACTCTCATTCATTGATTCACCTACCAGCACAGGTTAAGGTTCATGGTCCACTGATACTTCACTCCACTTTTGTATTTGAGTCTATGTTGGCTCATCTTAAGTGCATGTTCCATGGTACCAGAGGCATATTCCAGATCAGATTTGCAAACGACTAGCGAGAGCACAACATTCAAAGCAATACATACAGCAATGTGTTGCAGGAAATGATGAAGCATGTGAGTTTGCACAAGGAATGCTAACATCAAACTCCCCTAAGGCTGTTGAGGTTAATGATGAAGATGTCAAGCTCTTCACACCAATGCTGCACAAGGTCCCTCATGTTGGTAATCCAATAGAGGGATACTTCAATGATGACAGAGAAGTCAGTGTGTCAGAAAGAATGCATAAAAGAGGTCAGGTGTTTCACAGCCTGTGCTACAAGAGGAAAGCCAAATCAGCAAGCTATCTTGTGAAGTATTTATCACAGTCTGACATTTGTTTTGGAGAGGTCCAGTTTTTTCTTAAGGACTGCCATAATGATGGCTATGCTGTTGTCAGAGTGATTGATACTATTGGTTTGAACATTTGTTCATCAGGAATTGATCCTCCAAGAGATCCTGTTGTTCAAACATTTTGGTCATCTGGCTTCTTAGGGCATCACTTTGTTGCAGTGCGATTTACAAGGAGATTTAAACTGATACCTTGTGTGCAGATCGAGACACGGGTGGTTTTTGTGGAGAGTGATGAGCCTAATATTGATGGCTATGTATCAGAGGTTTTAAAAGCTATCAACATGATTAGCTTATATATCATGTAAACTGGATGTATTTAGATAATTACTGAAGCTAGCTGCAATAATCAATATAGGCAAAACGTTATTTTGTATTTTTTTAACAATTACTCACTGAAGGCAGGGTGAATATCGTCAAATAATCTCTGAGACAAAGTGAAGGGGATTATTGGACAATATTCACCGAACCTGAAGCAAATAACCCTAACCACTGAAAACAGCCATAAACCTGTAAAATTGAGGCAAATTATTATTTCATTTGACATGAGCATGCGTAGTCTGTTAATTTAACATCATCGCACAAATTTGGAAGCTAGAGTTTGTGATAAAGAACGCTTTCACGTGGCTCCTTTGGTTCTAACCCAAACCCTCTACAGATCAAACACTCTACTGTGCTGGCTGATTGAAAACAAACTGTACACATGTTTCTGGAAAGAGTGGTAAGTATGAAAGATCATCAAAAATTATCAAAGAATTAGGCAATATGACACCAATACTACGCCTATTTTACTGAGTCCTTAGTTGGATAGACAGATCTTTAATTAAAGAATATTAGGGATCCTTACAACAATCTAGTGTGTATCCTACTTCTGCTCAAGTTCCCTGTCCAGTCACACCCAATCCTGAAGCTGCATCAGAATCACCACCCAGTGCGCAACTCCATAGTCTCCTCAGACTGATGGATTCGCACCCCCTGATCAGGATAGTCTTCCTACATGGGATCCCTCTAGTATTTAATTATACAAGACCCTAATTCTTGTCCAGGATCCTTATCAGGATAGTGATCCCAAATAGGATCCTATATATATCCCGGATCCTCTTCTTTCCATGGATCCTGATCAGGCTAGTGATCTCAAATAGGATCCTATATATATCCAGGATCCTATTCTTACCCAGGATCCTGATCAGGATAGTGATCCTAAGTGGGATCCTATATATATCCAGGATCCTATTCTTGCCCAAGATCCTGATCAGGGTAGTGATCTTACATAGGATCCTATATATAATTCAGGATCCTATTCTTGCCCAGGATCCTGATCAGGATAGTGATCCT